ATAAAAAGTTAACAGCAATAGTCACAGTAGTTGTTATGCTAGACTAAGGCTAGGTTATATCTCCGGCAGTATGGTTTGTATGGAGATTAGATTAAATTTTTTATTTGACAAATTACATGGTTGTACAGAGGAATAAAATAGTTGGATGTACATGCCAAAAGCCCCTCTGTATGCTGAGCATTTCGGGCAAACTTAAAGATTAACTTAAGAATAGTTCTTATGGTCATTAAATGAGTTAGAGTGAGTCAGTTAGAGATGTCATACAATACAAAGTGAGTGGGCAGAGACAGAACTATACACTTAAGTATTATGTGTCCAAACATCTAACCTTTCAGAGACACTTCCATGCAAACCCTACATAATATAGCAAAACACTTCATTGTTAATGATAAAATATCTGAAATCTTAAAGCTGTATCCACATTTTGCATCGACTAAATGAACGAAGAATTTTTATAGAGGAGATTATAATTCATTTATGATGAATGTTTTTTAGTGGTAATAAGAAATCGATTTTTTGAGATTGTATTCCATATTGCATTGTGTAGATTAACTATATGAAGTATTTGTAAAGTATGAAATAGCTAATATTTCTTTCTAGTGGTATAACTATGCCAGTGAGGTCTGGTAAAGCCCCACTATAACCTTAGTAATCCTGTTTTTTGCACTATCTGCCTACACGAAATTACTTCCTACGAAACAAAAGATTTGGCAGGCAGTGCAACATCATCCCAGTGAAAAGCAGGGGTGCCATGGGTACACTAGAGACACAGTAAGTGTCAAGGGGGCCCAAAGACTGTTCAACTGCCCCCACCACACATAAGGAAGGTTACCAATTAACCTTTTGGCTGTCTTCAAGAGGGAGCTGGACAGACACCTAAAATCAATATCTGACCAGCCGAGCTGTGGTTCATACGTCGTTACATGCGGCCAACAGTAACAGCCTGTTTGATCATGTCCTGATCCACTATGAGGTCTGGTCTCCCCGAAGCTTGGGAAGACATATAAGAGACAGAATCTCACAATGGAGTTCCAACGGCGGGTCATTATCTGACTAAGACCCGCGTCAGGAAACACTTGTCCTGTTTCCTGACAAACCTACCTACCTACCTATCTATGCAGGAGACCGAGATCATAACTAGCCCAAGTGAAGGTCAAGACAAGGGACTCAAGCCAGTCAGAGAAGGTACTCGCCGAGATGTGTTCGAGCAAAATGGAATAAGTAAGTTTATTTAGGCACAGGTACACATAAATATAATTATGATAGTGTAAAGTACCTAAGATAACCCCCCAAAAAAGTCTAAGTGACGTAGTTCCATTGGGGTCCTTGACACTTTTATTATTCTTGTTTTTTTTTTTTTGTTCTTAGTAGTATTAAGTAGCACTAACAACGTGAGGCACTGAGCCTTACTTATGCTTACATAAGATAAGGTTTCGTTCGGATTTTTTACCCCGGAGGTTAGCCACCCAGGATAACCCAAGAAAGTCAGTGCGTCATCGAGGACTGTCTAACTTATTTCCATTGGGGTCCTTAATCTTGTCCCCCAGGATGCGACCCACACCAGTCGACTAACCACCCAGGTACCTATTTGCTGCTAGGTGAACAGGACAATAGGTGTAAGGAAACGTGTCGGAATTTCCACCCGCCGGGAATCGAACCCGGGCCCTCCGTGTGTGAAGCGGGAGTTTTAGCCACCAGACCACCGGGAGGAAACACTGCACAAATCAAGAAAGAACAACTATGCACATTAAACACCCATATCGGTATATACTGGGCAAGAGGATCAAAGAACCCTAGCGAAGATAGGTCAGAAACAGCTAATATATTGGGTTATTCTGGGTTACTAACCCAGCAGGAGCCAGTTCAAGAAGAGTGCCAGAAGGTAACTAATGAATGTAGCTACAGCAAGGGAAGAAAGTACTTTCTGTATAACTAACATACATGTACCTATTACTGTGATCTTATCCTCTTTTTAATATTAATGTAAATAGTTCAGTTTACCATATCTCTAGTATATCTCTTTTTATTGCTGAAATAATAAGCTATTACAAGAACCCCAATAAAAATAAATCTCTTTATCCGACGTTGTCAGGTTATCCTAGTAATCTACACATATACTACTATGTATAACAATATATATAACTGTATTTATGTGTACCTATACCTGAATAAACTTACACGTGGGTTGAATAATTTGAATTTAGCGGCAGTGCGCATTGTTAAGTTCAGCTGCTGCTGCTGCTGCTGCTGCCTTCCTTCCTCCCTGCCACACTACTGCCAGAGGTAACACTACTTTACTTACATATTTACCTCAGTTTTAGCCTCTTGAGGCTGCATTTTGGGAGTGCAGGTGTCGAGGTGGTGCAGTGTGGTACTAGAGGTGGGAAGTGTGTGTTAAAATAGTTGATTAATGTCGTTGATTTTGATTTATTGGTGAGTTAAGGTGGTGTGTTGTACATGTGGACTTGTGTTGATGCCGACTGTGGTCGTCTATATGATATATATTTTAACTATCTCTTCATTTAAGGGGTCAGGGGAGAATGCCTGATGCCGATGAGAGGTTCTTGATCCATGGAATTGGGGCTCCTTTCGTGGATCGAGCTTAATTACCTCGCATTTCTTCCCAGGCGTTATATGACCCCTACTTATTTAGCGCCTTCCAGCGAGTGCAAAATTATCGCCCTATAAATTTGTAAAATTAACATCATACTGTATCACCACTGTAGGTCTATGATGGTTATTGGCTAACTAACCATTGCTCATCAACTTCATTTACATTAGGGTGATTTTATGCATAGTATAAGTGGCTTTGGCATGCTGCTCTTATCTGTATTTTTTTGTACCTCGTATGTATGCTCAAATTGTAAATAAATAAATAAATAAATAGGCATACATTGCCCCCACGGATGTAGTAGTAGTAGTACTATTACTAATATAATAAAAATAATAGTATAGGCACATGTTAAATTATGAAGATTTAATTAATGATAATTCAACAATTCAGTGACTTTATTGTAATTTCATCTATGTATTTGAAAGTGTGGTCAGTCCACCATTATATTATACAAAAAATAAATCAAAACTTACTGTTTTTTAAATTTTCCCTCATGTTTCTTCTTTAAAGAAAGATAAGATAAGAAAGAAAGATTTCGTTCGGTTTTTTAACCCGGGGGGTTTTACCACCCAGGAAAACCCCAAGAAAGTCAGTGCGTCATCGGGGGACTGCAAACTTATTTCCTTTGGGGGTCCAAACGCCCCCGGGATGCGACCCACACCAGTTGACAAACCCGGGTCCTATTTCCCCTGCAAGGTGAACAGGACAATAGGTGTAAGGAAACGTGTCGGAATTTCCCACCCCCGGAATCAAACCCGGGGCCCCCCGTTTTGTGAAGGGGGAGTTTTGCCACCAACCCGGCCCCCCAACCATCTCCCCGGGGGAAAATCGAACCCCGGCTCCCGCGGACAGGCGGGATACTCCCCACTTACTACCGAGGACTAGTATCATTAACTCTACCTTATTAAAAAACCCATACCACGGGGGGGATAAAACCCGAAATCAGAGAGTCTCAAAACCCCAACCGTCACGTTACCACGGGACATAGCCACAATAATTTTTCTTCCAATAGGTAATTTTTATTGTGGCAAACACGAGGGTCTGGATTTTTGAACCTCTGATTGCGGGTTCTACCCCCCCGGGGATGGTTTTTTTGCAATCGTGTCTTACTTTTCGGAGTCTACTCATATTATGTAAACTGTTACAAATTTTCCATGTTTGGGAAAACCATTTCATTCTTGTAGCTGAAAGAAGATACTTTTAAGCTTTCTGTAACGTGGATAACTACAAATTGTTAGAGCCATCACCCATGGTAAAATAACGTGCGAGCAGTTTAAATCGTTTGGGAACAATTTTGTAAACCCCCGTTTTAAATTACTTTTTGTAGCTTTATAGTGTAAAGAAATTTTGGGTCCAAGCCAGGACCCCAAAGTTACCAAGGGGGACACAATGTAAAAGGGTAAACAATGCTTGCTGCCTATTACCTAGTCATTTGAGTCACATCCGAGGCAAGATCCGAGGGTCCCTCAGAAATTTGCCCACGCTTGGGGGTTCATGGGTTTTCAGGTTATTAACCCTTTAAGGGGTATGTCAGAAAAGAGCTTTGCTATCTGAACATTTGGCACTCTTTATTTTAGTCATTAAAAATGTGCTTTATAATAAGTGTTCTGGCAGGGATTCTAAGTTGATTTGTTAGGGGGTTTTGGTATTTTTGTTCGGCAAAAAAACTCAATGTAAAATTTTGTGTAACTGTTGGAAACCGTCTAAATAACAAACCAAAACCTAATTTTTTGGAAACTCGGGTTATTTTAATGCGCCAAACCCCGCCCCTTGCTAACTTGGGGAGTTGATTTAGAAAAGTTGTGGGCCCCGCCTGACAACTTTGTTTTGCATCCACTAAACCTTATTTAGGTGATTGATGCGTTGAAGGGTTTCCCTTTGTCCAGGGGAAATTGGGCTGGCCTCTTCATAAACCTCATTTCTCTCCCTTTCCCCCCCCCCCCTCTCATTCTTCAGGGCTGTATACTTACAGGTAAGCATTTTTCCCCCAAAAATAAATTTTCTTACCTAGTATTTATTTATTTATTTTAAATGAATATCATACGTGGTAAAATTTTGTTTATACTGTCCTGTATTAAAAACTGAATTTTTTTTATATTTATTATTGTATATTTTATAATGTATGGAGAAAAAGATGTTAGCAAAGTATTTTTTATAATCTGTACTCTTTTTAAGCCTGGGCAATTCTCCCCAGACGGCACTGCACACCTTTGTGATAAAGGGTTCGTTTTAAAATTTTTTTTTTTTTTTTTACTAAGGGATGTCAGTGGGGTCAGTTTTTTTTTAGTACATAACCATTACTATTTCAGATGCCGCGTTTTGCAACGGCAAATAAAAAAACAACGGCTGAAAGGCCCCATGATTCGAAACCTCCTCGGGGAAATTTGCCGACCTGGAAATGAACTCAAGTTTAAAAACACAGCTTCGAGAACTCACAATTACTGGAGCTAAGCAGATTGAAGTTGGAGATAAGAAGGTATGTTTAATTCTTCACTGTTATGATGGTGGGCATTTTAAGATTAAAAATTGTCCCTCCAACAAGTGCCGGATGAACCAGGCTGTGATGGATATGTGGGGCAGCAGGCCACCAGTAGCAACAGCCTGGTTGACCAGGCAAGCACCAGATAACCCTGGTCCATGGCCGGGCTCCAAGAGCATAGTCTCAAAACTCATCGAAGGTATATCAGAGGTATATGAATCATAATCAGTATTATGATCTAAAATTATGTAAATATTTGAGGGGTTTTGTGTGATATGTACATGTATGTTCAACTATTTTGAGTGCTGAAGTGGTCTACTTGTACGATACAAAGTTCAGTACACAAGAATTATACCTACCTGTATAATAAAGCATTTTATATGCACACACATGCATTCTTGTATGGTTCATTTGAACAAAAATTAATGTAATTTTGATGCTACTGGAACTAAAGATTTTTCACCATATTCATTGTATGATGTGATTGCCTGGAATTTTAGTCATACATTTCCCACTTGAATGAGGAAACTCGTTCACCTTAATTCATTTGAGAATGATCTAGCCAGATATGTGCAGACATGACAATTCAGGTTACTTTTTATTTTTCTATATACTGAATTTCTGTAAAGGGGAAGGAAGGTGGGGTAGGGGTCGCCCTCGAAAAGGTTGGAAGGAAGGGGTAAGGGAGGTTTTGTGGGCGAGGGCTTGGAGTTCCAGAAGGGATGCATGAAACATGTTCGATGGAGTGAATGGGAGACGAATGGTATTGGGACCTGAAAGATATGTTTGGAGTGTGAAACAGGGTAATATTTAGTGAAGGGATTCAGGAAAAAACCCTTATTTTTACATAGTCGGACTGAGGGCCTGGAAATGGGAAGTACAATGCCTGCCCCTCTAAAAGAGGGTTTTCGGATATTAGCAGTTTGGAGGGATATTTGTGTAACTTTTATACGTATATGCTTCTAAACTGTTGTTCTGACACCTCTGCAAAAACAGTTGATTATGTGTGAGTGAGGTGAAAGTGTTGAATGATGAAAGTAATTTTCTTTTTGGGGGTTTTCTTTCTTTTTGGGTCACCCCCCGCCTCGGTGGGAAAACGCCGACTTGTTAAAAAAAAAAATGTTGAATTACTGTTGATTCTTTGTAAGATGTAGTGATAGTTTTTCCTTGCAGTGCATCGCAATCTTCGTGCCTTGTGCCATTGTTGCGTGCCTTTCAACGTTTTACAACAGCGCCCCGGTTTCGTGAGCTGGAAAAGAAATTTATGGCAAACATGTTGTAGTGATTGCACAGCGCCGCATCATACCTAAGCCATCTCGTAAGCTGAAGAACCCACCCAAGCAAAGGAGACCCAGGAGGTATGTATCTTTGATATTGTTTTCTAGAACATTTGAGATTTTGGCCTTGTAAATACGTACTAACATCAAAGGGCATTTAATATACAATAATTAAAAATTAGGGAATGTTTTGTATGAAAAATAAAATTTTCATCAAGGTAAGAAAAAGTTTGTATGGCTGGGATTTTGTAGGGGGTGAGGCGTTGCAGTCCATGAATTTCTGCAAAAGTAAAAACCTCGAAAAATAAAAAAAATTTGTCGCATTAAACTTTTTCAGATTTGGGGTTTTCATTATTGACATGTTTCTGTGATATATTACTTTTCCCTTTTTTAAAAATGTTAAACATATTCAGTTTGTATTTTTATCATTTTTAAAAAATATCGGGCACTTTACTTTTGTAATTTCACATTGGGAAAAAATCAGCGTTTCCTGTTTCGTCCAGTCATGCAGATGTATATAAGTCGGGCCCCCAGCTTTACAGTGCTTGTTTATGGTGTTTTGCTAATGAAAGGGGGTTTCAGTTATGCCGTTTTTTCGTATTTCGACTTACAAAAAAATACTTTCACCTTTTTCTATAAGCTAAAATTTTAAAGGTAAGAAAATGTTGTACAATATGTATTTTTTTTTTTCTTAACTATTGCTCTCTTAAAAAGTGTGTCAAAATGTTATATGCATTTGAAGTTAAAAAAAAAAAAAAAAAAAAAAAAAAAAGAGGAGGGTGCTGTTTTACTTTACGGCAGGTTTTGCTTCACATCAGTATCTGGAACCTTACCTGCTGTATAAGCGGGCCCCTTCTGTATTCATTTCCTCCTTTCCTACTGATGGTATATGTGTTTTATAAATTTTTGACTGATGCTGACCTTGGCTATGAATGGGGGTAACAATTGCAGACACCTTTCCATGAAAGGGACATAGATGGGTGTGCACGAAAAAAATGATCAAATACATTGATAAAATTTCTGAATACGAATGCCTTACAATGACGCACTACTTTTAAGGTCATATACATACCCATATAATACTTTAAGACTATGTTATGCAGATGTATTTTAAAGCTTTTTTTAAAAGGAAATCAAAATAAAAACTGTCAATCTAAATAAATTTGATGTAATGATAGTTTTCTATATTACAAGATAATACAACTAAAATGGTAGTAAACTCGTATAACAGACTATTTGGAAAGTGGGTGGCTAAAAATACTATTTGTAGTGCAAAAGGATATTTTTTGCCGTGATTGTGACAATGGTAATTGAAACCCAAACAGGCTTCTAGTTTTTAAATCGTTACCCCAGGGATTTCATTTTCATATTTCCTAAGTCGTTATATGGAAGGTTTACGTAGGTTAGCAGTTTGAAATTTCATATCAAGTGTTATTGATATTTTCAAGACATGGACCTTGACTGCTCTAACTCTAAGAAGAACTGAAATGTAATTGCAAAAAAATTTTTCTAACCTTAAAACCCCCCTGCATTAAGGGGAATTTATTTTAACCGTACCTTGACTTCGTACATGATGCAATTCTGGGGGATCTTGTTTTTCCCGTGAGATTGTGGGCAAAGGATCAGAGTTAGACTTTATGGCTCCGGCTCAGAAGGCACCTTGACAAGGCCCAAAAAAACATTGAACATAAAATATTTTGATACGAGGCTAGAAAAATTTTCATAGCATTAATTTTTTTGTGCTTCGTTTATTTCAAGGGAATTTTCAATCCATTATTTACCAAATTAAAAATTTGCAAAATTTTATTTTACAGCGAATTGCTGTGTAAAATTTTTAATGAAATGTTTGTAAATTTATGCATGTTTTCAATTAAACAGAAGAGTGATTTATTTAAATTCTTTCAGCTTTATTGAGTTTTTAAAAGATTCTAAAGCAGTGAAACAAAAAATTTTTTTAGGTAAGACTCGCATCCTGATAAAGATATAATTAAGGGAAAAGCTTTTTGCCATAAGCGGGTTCTTTTGGCAAAACTGAAGCCACATGACTGAAGTGTCCACAAGGCCAAAATGTTCAAGAATTTTTTTTTTTAAATGGTAAGAATCTTCCTAAAGGTAATGAAACCAAAAGTATGAAATTTTGGGTGGAAAACTTAGGAATTATGCTCTAGCAAAAGTTAGCAGTCTGAGTGAAAATTTACGTATCTGAATTTTGCCCACTTTGAGCCCTATTTTCGACCAGTTCCATTTTTCCCCAGTCTTTCCCCTTCAAAGGAGGTTCCTTGACGCTGGTGAGGGGTCTGATCTAGGGAATTGGTTTCTGTGCTCCATTCCCTGAATAGAATCCAAAATGCCTTCCATCCCTCTACAGGCACTGTATGATCCCTAGGGTTTAGCTCCCCCCATGATAATCCAATCGACCAAACTCGTAGGTATTTAGCTAGTATTCCTTCTATTGGTACAAGAAACTGCCCATTGACCTATTTTCAGTTACCAAATAGTGATTAAAATTGGTAATTTGGCCAATTTCACACACAATTCAAAAATTAGCAATTTAAAAATAGGTTCTAGAAATAAACAATGTAGACATTTCCGCACTAAAAAACACATCCTCTGTTCATGGTTATGTCTCCAGGCACTCCCATATTACACTTGTTTTACTTTTTGAAGTTTTTATTTACAAAAAAAAAATGAATTTTAAAAGCTACGACTACTGCATTATTTAATAAATAATTGTATAAATGTCGTGCACTCATGAACACCCCAAACCCATTGGACACATTGGATGGGGGAGTAATTTGTGTCCTCTGGAATTTTGCAAAATCAAACATTTCTGCTGCTTTGAGCTAAATTTTTCAACTATTTTCAGTCCTGAATTGAGATTTACGTATGCGTATATGAAAACCCTTTTTTGAAAAACTTTTCACAGTGGCTTCACATTTTATAAAAAACAGGAAGGTATAAGGAGAGGGGGGGTTTGGGTAATTAGTCCCTCAGCCTGGAGTTATGTTTCACCCCATAAATTTTGTACAAAGTACAGCACAGGGCGTGCAGGGGCTTATGTACTGTATCGGGTGAGGCAAAGCAGAGTGGGGGGGGTCTGGTGGAACCCATTCCTAGTCAAGTAGGCTTTGCCCAAAGTTTGGGCAAGTTTTGAAAAATTTTCTTTGTATAAAAGATCCAAATGAGAGCAGTGTCTGAATGGATGAATTTTTCAAAACCATTCATCAACGTCAGATGAATCATCATGGAGTGCGGCAAGCATTATTTAGTTTAAGAGAAAATAACTTGGTTGTTAAGAGGCCATATAAGGGGTCGGGCCCATGCCCGTATTATTTTTGCTAAAATTATTAGAGGTAATGAAATTTTTAGCTATAAAAATTTTCTTTTTTTTTAGAGTTTTTCACTACATGTTCTTCCATTGACACGATTTTCGGGGACCCTCCAAAATTTCTTGGGAATTGAAATGAGCTTTTTATAAAGTACAGTATTCATAGTATGGAGCTGTAACTGCCTATCACTCATTGGTTAAGGGTTTTTACAAAAACAGATTGTATTTTTAAAGGGACACTTCACTTAACAGTTTTAAATATCTTTATCACTATAAAAAATTCGTAGATAAAGTATAAATTAAAAAATCTTTCCCTACAAACATTAGATATATTGCAGTATGAACTACAGTGGACCCCCGGGGGAAAAGATACTTTTAAGAATTGTTCAGGT